TCCGATAAAGGAGAACAATTATACCTCAGGGTTAAAATGAGGGGTCCTTGGTGCTCTGAGCTTTTACGTATCCTTGCAGACGTTTCATTACCCAAACTAAGTAACATAACAGAATTAACAAGAGTTGGGAGGGACCTTGGAGGTAGTCCAAGCTCCTGCTCAAGCAGGAAACCATTCAAATGGTTGTCCAATTTTTTCTTAAAAGCTTCCAGTGGTGGAGTATCCACAACTTTTGGAGGCAAGTTGTTCCACTGACTAATTGTTTCAACTGTCAGGACCTGGTTCCAAAGGCCGCGCCTCTCTCTCCGCAGCCACATTGGGGTGCATAACATTTAACGACTATTTTGCTTAGCAACAGACATTTTGGGCTCAATTAACGGTCGTAAGTCCTGTACCTGAGGAGACATTTTTGGATTTTTTCTCTCTCTCTTGCAATGGCAAATGTGCCTGTTTCGCATCATTCTGGCTGTCAGCATAGCTTCTAGCACAGTGGTTCTCAACCTGTGGGTCAGGACCCCATTTGGGGTCGATCGACCATTTCACGGGGGTCGCCAAGCAAGGCTGTCTGCCATTTTTTTTGTCCGCCATTTTTTCCCCCTTTTCCGGCGGGTGCCTTACCTCCCTTGGGCTGGGCCAGCTGGTAGTCGGCCTGCTCTGTCTCTGCTGCTTGCCAGCTATGCCTCGGCCGGCGCAGGGGGCGGAACCACGCATGCGCGGCGCTCCCGGGCAGGGAAAGTCCTCGACTTACGACCGGTTTAGTCCTCGACTTACGACCGGTTTAGTCCTCGACTTATGACCGGTTGGGGTCGCGGCATTAAAAAGGTTGAGAACCACTGTTCTAGCAGGAGCTGCACTTCCTGGAATGACCAAACAGATGCCTAATCAAATTGCTCTCCAGGAAGACGTAGGGTACAATTTGTTTGCATTCTCACAGTCCTCCTATGGCAGTGGTGGCGAACCTATGGCATGGATGCCAGAGGCAGCACTCGGAGCCCTCTCTGTGGACACACGTGCCGTTGCCCCAGCCTTGCCTCCCCCTGCGACCCCCTCCTCACCAGCAGTCCCCCCTGGAGGAGAGTCACCCCCGAGCGTGGCCCACACGGAGCAGTGTAGCCAAGGACATGGCAGCCAGACAGCGTAGGCAAGACTCTGCCCTCACGCCCCATTGCGCACAGTTGATGCTGCGGGGCACGGGCAGAGGGTGTGGCCATGGCGCTGCTGGGTGGTCTGCGGCAGCCCTGGAGGTGGTGAGTGGCCCCGCGGGCAGGTGGGGTGGCGGCGGGGCAGGGGCAGTTTTTGGGCACTCGGTCTCTAAAAGGTTTGCCATCACTGTCCTATGGATTAGTACCAATCTGCTTCAGGTTGTGTCACACAGATAAAGAGATCTAGATCTTTATACTGCTTGATGGGTGGCTGTCCCAAATTTCAGGGGAAAAAAAGATTCCCCCCGCCCCCCCCCATATTACAGAGTTGTCACTTTGTGCCCTGACCTCCTGCCCCCATCATGGAGCAAAGAAGGTACATTCTGGGATAAGGGTTGGGTGGGACGTGCGATGTAAAAAAGATGTTGAGACTTTAGAAAGAGTACAGAGAAGAGCAACAATAATGATTAGGGGACTGGAGGCTAAAGCATATAAGGAAAGGCTGCTGGAATTGGATATGTCTAGTTTAATGAAGAGAAGGACGAGGGGGGACATGATAGCAGTGTTCCAATATCTCAGGGGTTGCCATAAAGAAGAGGGAGTCAAGCTATTCTCCAAAGCGCCTGAAGGCAGGACAAGAAGCAATGGGTGGAAACTAATCAAGGAGAGAAGCAACCTAGAACTAAGGAGAAACTTCCTGACAGTTAGAACAATTAACCAGTGGAACAACCTGCCTCCAGAAGCGGTGAATGCTCCAACACTGGAAGTTTTTAAGAAGAGACTGGACA